AGCAGCAAATCTCATCGCGGCTTTCGCCTTTTAAATAGCATCACTACTTCCATGTAGCCAATATACACAGGTAAACTAGGTTTCAATCGAATCGGAAAAAAAAATTTGAATTAAAAGTCAATTTCAATAAATTTTGTGCTAAGTCGGGGCCATAACTCGGAAGAGGTCAACGAAATCGGACATACATCAGTGGGTATTGAGATGCTACCAATATACACAAGCATACCAAGTTTCAATCAAATCCGATAAAAATTGTAGTTTCTATCTTCTTAAGAAGCCAATTTCAACGAATTTTGCGCTAATTCAAGGGCAATAACCCGGAACAGGTCGGCGGAATCGGACATACATCTATGTGTATTGAGATGCTACCAATATACACAAGCATACCAAGTTTCAGTCAAATCCGATAAGAATTGTAGTTTCTATCTACGCATTTTGCGCAAAGTCAAGGGCAAAGTCACGAACTTACTTAAGTTGATGTGAATAAGATGACCAACACCACTGAAAATGAGTAATTTTACTGTGACCAAATTACTATGTGACAGTATTACTGTGACCAAATTGCCGTGTAACTTTTTTACTGTGACCAAATTACCGTGTGACCTTATTACTGTGACCAAATTACCATGTGACCTTTTTACTGTGACCAAAATACTATGTGACCTTTTTACTGTGACCAAATTACCGCGTGACCCTTTTACTGTGACCGAATTACCGCGTGACCTTATTACTGTGACCAAATTACCATGTGACCGTATTACTGTGACCAAATTCCCGTGTGACTTTTTTACTGTGACCAAATTACCGTGTGACCTTTTCACTGTGACCAAATTACCGTGTGACCTTATTACTGTGACCAAATTACCGTGTGACCTTTTTACTGTGACCAAATTTCCGGTGACCGATTTACCTATGACCTAATTACCTACATTCAAAAATATAACCGTGAGATTACATTTTGTTCATAACTTAATCAGAATTATTACTCACTCACTTATGATCTCGAATTAATATGTAAATGATGGAAACATTTCTTTGTAAAATATATCAGATCATGCACAACATTGTGCAGCTGATGCTAATTGAAGGTTAACTTCATGTATCGTCTAACAGGTGGAAAGTCTTGAAGTGTTAACTGTTAAGAAATTTTTAACAAACTCAACCTGTAACACACGAGGCCTCACTCGTTGTTCCTTCCGCATCTGCTTGGCAACCCCTTTAAATACACCACTAAAGGAAGAATCCCATCATTTTGAAGGAACAAATTCCCGTGACATACGCCACTCCGTCGAACTATGTTTTTAAAATTGTTTTGTTACCGAGGTTCAATATACAGATTCTGCATGCAGCCACAATTATTAAATATCTACTAATATCTAACCACTTCAGAATTACTAAAAGGTTTAGATTAAAACTCAAATTATTCTAATCGAAGCACAATGAGATAAGGTTCTTTTTTGTTTCTTATCTGTTATTATATAACGTAATGGACTCGTTCAGAAAGTTGTTCTTTAATATTTCTTAAGGCTCCCGTATATTTTATATGAGAAGTAAGATCTTAAATGTGTGCAATAGATACAAGATAAAAATATCGATTACCTTATCGAAATGTAATTAGTAATTATCAGCTCTATATTACGCAATATTAATGTGTCTAGGAAACCTTGATCAGGGTAGCAACGATCATACGGGACTAAAATCATATTGAAAGGCGTTATCACGAAATGTAAAAATATGTCATATATGATTTTAGAGAAGATATATTGAAAGTTCATTATAAAACATATTTTTAAAGATACATTGTACTTCCTCATTTATAATTGATATACTTCCGCATATAAAAAGTTCATTAGCTCTGCAACCAATGTATGTTGTTTTGGATTCCGGGTTTCGTTTTGCGGTTCGGATCGTTTGTACTTAAGCGAATTATTGTGTTCAGTCCAAAAACTTGTCGTTCTGAATAGCGCTGACAAACAGAAAAAATAGGAAAAATGATATGTGAATCCATGAAACATTTTTTTTTCATTTTTTGTCTGACTCGCGATATTGTAAAACCAATTATATATATGCAATGTCCCGAACAAATGAAACTAATTTGCAACTAAAACTCCTTATTAAAATTAATAATTTAAAGCCTATCCTAGCTATTTATGGTTATTTTCTTACAATAATTCTAATCTGAAAAGCCGTTTATCGTTTGATCTTTGTTTAATCTGCTTGAAAATTTCCATTCATCGATTTTTTTCCAAAGATTAGATAACAACGGTTGACTTTATGTGACATTGAAATTCAGTTAAGAATATTAACGTTTTGCTTTGATTGCTAGAAAACAACATGAAATAAGGTCAACTTGCGAATGATTTTAAGACCCGAATGTTAAATTTAACCGCAGACGTTCTTAGACAAATTTGATTTTATTTTCCATTCCCTTAAATTCACTTCCAGGAAGAGTATAATATATTACTTTTATAACATGGCATTTGGAAACAGAATATTCAATCATGAGTAAATTTTCTATTCTGGATAGAACTTTGTCGTCATTGGTTCGGGAAATTTGAAAAATATTCTAAATAATAATATGTTCTCCTTGTCTGTTTTTTGATTATATCTTTAAATTTAACCTTTTTATCTTTTATTCGAGGGTATTTATTATTGGTCAACGCATATGGGCAACAACATGAAATTATGGAGAATGCAGTGACAGAAAATTGTCTTGTATGACAGTTTGATTATCAGCACAAATATTGTTGATTTTCTATTTCAATAAAAGTATTTGAAGTTAGGTAACTTTCAGCGACAGAAACTAGGCTATTATGGCTATATTTCTGTGTGATTTTATTGCAAAAAAGAATCTTCAGTCATTCATATTTCGTCCAATGAAAATGGATAGCGACATAAACTTGACTATTATGAATGTAATAAACTTACAACTATTAATTATCATAAAAATGTAATATTCGTGTTCGATTTTTTTGCAAAATATTTATTTTAATTTTAACGACATATATGAAATGAGGAAATGTGCAGCCGCATAAACTTGGATATTTTTTGTTGTTTTGATCACCAACCTGTCTTGCCATTGTTTATAAAATTTATTGCAAAATATTTATTTTAAGTCATTAATATAAAGTTTAGTGTCATAATTAAAGTGAATGCAGAATGTGTGCACTATGAATTGAAAGAATTTATACGACGACAAAAACTTACCTACCCGCTTCGGTTATTCAACAGTCTACAGATTCTTTATGTGTAGTGAACAATGGGATCACGCATAGCTATATAACACGAATTACTTTCCCCGAAGGTTCAATACTATTCAATAAACAGGAAAGAAATCTTATTATTTGTAGAGCAATGTGAGACGAGAAATGTTCTTCAATCTTACAAGTCAAAGACATGAAAATATTTACTTATAACACTTGTTCTTCACGTGCTGACTACAATATATCCTGAGGGTGTTCTAGTCTTATTGATTTTTAGGTTCTGGCTGATGTACTGACGACTCAAGACAAACGCCAGCTGCACTTAATAATTATCTATATTATCTAACTGTAGGCTTTATCAGATTAGTCTCTAGCTCTACCTTGCAATAATTGTCAAATCACAAAATGTGATAAACATAATTATTGAGTCATGGTCCTGTCCTAAATACAACACTGGGAATATCAGTTTGTGGAATTTCGATCTACATAATATGCGGGAAAATTTTGTATACAATAATAATATCGTTGAATATCTTTTACTTATGATGCTGCATTCAACTGAATACACCTATTAAGTCATGTATGAGAGGAGTTAGGAATTATATGATTAACTGCAATGGTGGCCTTTCGGATAGTCAAGATCAGATTCTCTCTGCTTTCTAAGAGTGACCTTAACAGCTTTAAAGGGCATGATAATCCATGTTCTCCGTATAACGGAATGACTTTTAACAACCAAATTACAGCTGTCATCATAAGCAATTGAAATTTTATCAACTTTATTGACTTGGCTTCAGAAGTAGTTTTTTAGGCAAAATGAGATGAAAGGATAAATGAATGTAATATTCAGTAATTGTTTTGGAATTAAACATCCACTTCTGATATTGACACCTTAAGTGACGATCTATCAAACGCTTGTTTTTGTCATAAAATTATGTTTGAGAGACCATCTGTTACATACATATAAATTCATACAACATCAATATGCAATAAAATGGTACTTCCATATTAAAGAGATTAGAGTTCTTTTATGTGTATCGGAGAAACCGATAGCATCAATTTCCACCATTCCAAATTTCAATCAATTCCATTTAGATTAAGCGTTTTATGACGTCAGTAATCGGGAATACAAGCATATTTTGCGATTAGTGACGTCATCAAACGCTTAGTTTAAACGTCTGATTGAAAATTAGAATGGTGCAAATTGATGCAATTAGTGTGCCCGATACACATAAAAGATAAAACCTATTTACAATTCTTTTAAGTCAATGCAATTCATCTTTGGCCGGAAATGGTTTTTTATCGTTCTCGAGATGAAGAATTTCTTCTTTTTGAATGTATTTTGGCTCCTACCGAAGCTGATGCAAAAAATATTCATTTACAATGGACAAAAAATTAAATGAGTTCATTGAATGCTCTAGTGTAGGTAAATATACATTGGCAGCGCCAGGAAGTGTGAAATGAGGCAAATATTGTCAGAACAACGGTTTCTAATTGTCGAGGGATCTTGAACATGTACAGCCTGTAGATCACCGGCCTTGTTTACAACATTATTGCACTAGGATAGAAAAGGAGACGATAAAAGTAAAAGGAGTAATACATTAAAACAGTTAATTAGTAAAATGATATGGATATCAAGATACAATTCTGATAATTAGCCTTACGGAATTTTGAGTTGATAACACCTGCCTGATTCTGATCAGCTGTCACTCAAACTGTTTGACAGGTAATATAAAGGTGACAGTGTTCTATATATGATATTGTATTATTATTGTCTACTAAATGACAATCATTGGTGGATTCTCTTCAGAGTAGTGTGGTAAGCGTTTCTGTTCTATATTTTATGTTTTTGTATAATGCAGCAATCTTTTAGTGGTTACCAAAACATTTTCCCCACAAAGTTTGTTAAATATTTTGTTCTATTGTATGATCTGCGTATGTTGCTGAAATATTAAGCTTTTCTGAATCTAGAATATTTATCATGTATGTTCAGCTTATGAGGTACCGTTAGTTGCAGGAATATTAAGCTTTCTCCGATCAAGAATAGGTATCAAGTATTTTCAGCTTAGTTGGTACCGTTAGTTGCAGAATTATTAAGCTTTTCTCAGATGTAGAATAGTTATCATGTATGTGCAACTTATGGGATACCGTTTGTTGCAGAAATATTAAGCTTGTCCCCGATCTAGAATAGTTATCATGTATGTTCAGCTTATGAGGTACCGTTTGTTGCAGAAATATTTAGCTTGTCCCCGATCTAGAATAGTTATTCAAGTATGTTCAGCTTATGAGGTACAGTTAGTTGCAGACATATTAAGCTTTTCCCGGATGGTTTGCTGCAGAAATAGTTTGTTGCAGAATAGTTAATATGTATGTTCAGCTTATGAGGTACCATTTGGTCCCCAAATTCAAGCTTTTGCCTTAAGTAGAATTATTATCATGATTGCCCAAATGGTCAGGTCAATATTGCATATTCTTGTATTTAATGCTACTGGGTCTTGGGGTACAGATTTTGATAGGGGATAAGATATTTTATCTGAATACTTTCTTTACCGTGTATAAAGCTGGAATTGCAATTGCTTTTATTCATCTTTTTTTTTCACATATTTGATGTGATGTGATGATCTTATGGTAAACAGGATCAGATAAGACGGCATATCTTTAAATTATTGAGAGGTGCCATGCAAAAGAAACCAATGCCATGGATACTGCGTGTCAGTATAATGTTCATGGACTGTGAATGTAGGAAATAGGTCTTAGCACGGAAGTGTCACTGTATAGATGATAATGGGGAATAACGGAAATAAGAATTTAATTATTGTAGAGATAATGTTTCGACCCGATTCGTTTAAGCCTTTATTATATCTGATATATTTCTAAAGCTACTGTTATCTCGACATCTCTATTTCCAGTCTTAAGTTTCTACTTTTACTATTAATTCAGCTTAAAAGTACTTCGTAGTGAGAACGCAGACTTATATATGTTCTTGTTGAGTACTGATTCGAATGACTGCAAGTTTTTCAATAACCATTTAAATGCAAACCCCCAAAGTAAGGTCGTTTTATGGCAGCTTTGGGTTGTATCGTAGGTGTTTGACTTATTACTTCAAGAACTTGTATTTTGTTTCTATTATCCAAAATATCCATCGTAAATAATTTTAGGTTGTTGATTGTGAATAGTATGCTTTGTGTCAATATTTTATAGATGTATTGTTAATATCCTCGAAGGCTGGCTGTTTTAAAAAAAAAACTGATTTCGCGATAACATATTATTGTGTGCTTTAGCGACCAACATGACAAATGACATTATCTGATCATGATGTCTCATGTTACAGCGAGATCTGATCTGATATTGTGATAGTTTGACTGGTGTTGATTGATAGGAATGATCGTTCATCGATTTGATAGTGTAAATGGTTGGTATTGACATATCTAAGGTCATGAATCAAATCAAATGTAACTGGCCGCTTTGCGAAAAAGGTACACAGAATCATACCAACTTTTCAGATGAAGATCAATATGCTAGATTATTTCTGAGCGCTATTTGATTCTATTGATAATCATTCATGATAATAAGATTTGAATTGTTATTTCCATGAGGTACCTTTGTTGGTATCGATGGTCCAGATATTCGTTCATTGTCTTCAGATATTGCAAAATTGGCAGTCCATCTGCAGGGAAGTTGGTTATTGCAGTACATCTGTTATCAAATTAGATACATTTGTAACTTCAATCCACTTCAATTTATCTGAAAATGTCCCACAGAAATTAGCTTCTATTTCTTGTAGAACTGGTCGAGAAATCAATGTATCTGTACTGATACCAGTTTTGTCGATCTGTAGATCTGGTACAGAATTCAAAGTACATGTGTCTGTACTATAAACAGTCTTTTAGGACTGGTATAGAAATCTGTACTGATACATGTCTTGTAGATCTGGTACCGAAATCATTGTATCTGTACTGATACCAGCCTTGTAGATCTGGTACAGAAATCATTGTATCTATACTGATACCAGTCTTGTATAACTGGTATAGAAATCACTGTATCTGTGCTGATGCCTGTCTTTTAGAACTACTACAGAAATCAATGTATCTGTACTGATACCTGTCTTGTATAACTGGTATAGAAATCACTGTATCTGTGCTGATACGTGTCTTGTAGAACTAGTACAGAAATAATTATATCTATACTGATACCAGTCTTGTATAACTGGTATAGAAATCACTGTATCTGTGCTGATACCTGTCTTGTAGAACTAGTACAGAAATCAATGTATCTGTACTGATACCAGTCTACCACAACTGAAAGTATATATCCATGATTTGGACTATTTGTCAATAGAATAATCAAGAATCATTTAGAGTAATTGTTCTCCTAATTGAGTATATTGGTTTCATTAAGAGAACTTAAGTTTCCACTAACTAGCCTTTACATCATATAATTGTATTTCTTCATTAGCATATATTGTGAAATGTGGATTTATGGCAGGTGTACGCGGTTAGTAACACACTATCGAGGAGCTGAAAGCGGATTGAATTCCCCAAGGTTGGCCACAGTCTGGTTCAAGTCCATCTACCAGAAGGGGTTGGACCATAACAGTTGTGAGGCGAATTTATCCTAGATTCAATTCACTTTTCCACTTGTTGATAAAACTTTGTATCCTGGTCAGAGGAGTGCAGTCGACATCTCTACAATAACAATTGATGCCAAAAGTACGGTTAATCACAATGGGAGTTAGGCTTCACTTGGGTTGATCCTTGAAGTACAGATGTACTTTTACGAATTTTAAATCAAGCAATATCTATTCGCAGTAAACCAATAAATCACTGTGCAGTATCTCACTCCATCATAGCATAAATTCATTAATCAATCTATAATATACAGAAACATGAGCTGTTTTCTGTTAAAAGTATGATCTTTCCAAGTTGTTTTTGGAAAAGAAATGTGAAATGACATACATGTCGGCGCCATTAAATGAATTATTTTAACATATCTGTTTCTGGGCCCATGTTTGCATATTATCAAAATGAAATAAAAATATTTTCTCAATTATACAAATATATCGAAGAAAATGTTTGTGTAATGCATATCGTGATTTCTTTTGACTCTAAATCCTTTGTAAGAACTGCTTCCCCAACGATTTCAAAATGTTCTGTGATGTTACACCGTGAAAATCACTTCCACATCTCTTAATGTCACGAAGATAAAAATCAAATTTATTCAAGTTTAACTGCTATCAAGTATACACGTAATTACACTGTGTTAACTTGCAAACTAGTCAATAAATAGAGTGATTCATTTTTCTCTCCAGAACAAAAGCAAATTACAACAACCGCTAAACCCCGAGGCCATAACGACCACCATTTGCCGTAACCAAAATAATGGTCTTATTTTTCTACTTTCAGGCAAAAAGCAAGAAGTGGTATTTAACTACAGAATGCCGTGATTGTTGACAATTTCTAAAAAATTCATTATGGCCGACGTTGAACATAGGAACAGAGTTGTATTGTTAGGCGCTGGAAATGTTGGCAAGAGCGCCATTTTAAAAAGATTTTTATTCGGCACATTTTCCTCGGAATACAAAGAGACTGTAGAGGATTTGATCACACGTGATTTTGATGTGCACGGAAACGCCGTAAAGGTCGATTTCTTAGACACTGCTGGCACAATGGTATTTCCAGCTATGAGAAAACTCTCATTAACAACTGCCCATGGCTTTGTTCTTGTGTATTCGATCACTAGCCAAGAATCTTTCGAAGAGATGAAAGGTATCTGGCAACAAATCAAAGAAGAGAGACCAAATTATCTTGAAATTCCGTGTGTTATTGTCGGTAATAAAGTAGACTTAGAGAATGATCGACGAATTGAAAAATTTGACGCATTAAATTGGATTTATACAGACGGCTTTTGTGGAGGATTTCTAGAAGTTTCGGCTAAAGATGACGAATCAATCACTGACATTTTTAAACATTTGTATGAACAATCGAGAGGCGGTATTCGCCATCTTGATCCCCTAGTTGGTCGTAGAATGAGTACGAATTCCCTAGACGAGACTGAAACGGAAAAGGCTGATGAGTGGGATAGCGATGCCAAGAAATTTAACCGAAGTCGAAGTTTAATAAGGAGAAGTAGTAAGCCAAAAATGAAACGAAATAACCGCCGTGGTCAAACCAAACACGAACCTGATTGCGTGATATCTTGATTATTTGCTCACTGGATGGACGTTGTTTTGAAACATACACCACTTCTATTGGATGTAATTGTATAAATATTTAATATCCCGCTTCCTGGTGCTTTGTAAAATGCTTTATGGTAGATAGGTATTAGGCTACACACACAAACCTATGTAGATAAAAATAGTTACCTCTAAAATGGCTGTAATGCCTAAAATCTACGAGTTCGCAAATGGGTACTTATTGTTAAAGGGAGATATACTATAAAATTTCAGTTTGCTTGGTGTTATTTACTTTTTTTTTGTATCGAAGATAAACATTCCTTGACCACATGCCATCTTACGAAATAATTACATGTTACAATTATTAGTACAAGTAAAGTGCTGAATTTTTCCCTTTATGACCCTAAAATGAATAGCGAACATGTTCTCTATTTAATTACTTATGTGATTTTACTTCAAGAATCTGGTTGTAACAAGAATTTTCTTAAATGTTCACGTGAATAAATCTTATTGTAGGGACATGTCTACAATCAGGAGACAAAAGTATTGACTTTTTGATTATAGGAGAATATCAAACACCGGTTAATGTTCATTTTAGATTGAAGAAAAATTGCATTGCTTTAGTCTTAATCGATTTATATAGCAGTTAGTCGCACTAGAAAAGTATTTGAAATTTTGATCATAGAAAAAGATAAAATTAGTTCTGTACAGGCCAATTGTTAACTGTGTTAAAATCTTGATCACTTAATATCATTTCTAGTCGCACTAGAATTTGATCATAGAAATGATAAAATCAGTTTTATACAGGCGAATTAACTGTATTAAGATTTGTATCCCCTAATATCACTTTAGTGTTAATATTTCTTAATTGACATTGAGGTATATGGAAACCAAGTATACTACTTGTTATTTTTTTTATGTCAACATTTTACATTAAACTTCAATCCCGAAGCAGCGCAAATTATAGATTAATGAGACAATTTACTATTGATATATACTTTCAGAATATTGTTATTTTCAACGTTCCAATGTGTTTCGCACACTGTCATCAGGAATATCCCGAGTCGTCAACGGTGGCAGTTGAATTAAGAATTCAGTCAGAATTTTTGGTTTGATGGTAGTTAGGTTGAAAATGCTTAATAATTTGAAAGTGTCTGCTGAGGATTTTTCATCAAAGCAAATTTACTTCAACCTTAAGCGGTTAATCCCACTAGAAATCATGTAATGAAAAAATGTTAATATTATTTTCTGCCTGAGCGCTTTTAACTTTTCCCCCAGACATGATATTTAATCGTTTTTCTGGTGCTGGTTTAGTATTGAAATTGAATTATATTTATATCTTCTATATCGGGTAATATGAGACACTTTCAATTACATTCGCCAATCTTATTTCATACTTTCCATATTTCATAAACTATAGTAGACTAGAAGAGACTAGAAGTGGCCATCTAATCTTTAATTGGTTATAACTTGATCTCGTTCATTATTTCCACTTGGGTCATCTGTATTCGGTTAGTTAACATGAGTGGCATCACTGTCTTGACACGAGAACTATATTCCTTTTTTAGTATAGACGGCGTCGAAATGATATATTTTTAGACGTGTCTTGTAAGAAATGGCTTTCAAATGGACAACCTTAGTCTCAAAATGACATTCTCTGAGAAGTGTTAGCATGCCCTGTATTGTCGGTAATAAACGCATACATTTGATTCTAGGTGTCTTATTTAATAATATAATTCGCATTTCCGTGAATTATACACAGTAGTTCACATATTTTCATCTCAAAAGGGCCAACAGGAGATAATCGAGCCTTTGCAAATACTTACCGTTATTGAAGAAACAAATACATGTTTGATTCATCGTGCCGAAACCTTATTTCGCAAAAGGTTTTTCTTAAACCAACTGTTTTTTGACCATTGCTAATAAAATCAGACTTAACTTTTGAAACTTCATGTATGTTAACTTTAGTTTATATCAGCAATTAAGTACAACATTATGTTTCGATAAATTTCATATCTCTATTCGGCGCCAAATATTATGATATATCTCGGCCAAATGATAACTCAGAAAACGATAATTTAAAAAAAGCAATTAAGTTAACTGGCCAAATAACAGACTTCCAACATGAGTGTTTCCACTTTCAATAATTATTTAGTTCAGATAAGTAAATAGGTCTACCCTCTAGTTCCCTATTAAATTTTAATGTGTCTGTAATTATAACTACTGTTTTCAGACGGGAATGATTGGAATTGTTTAGCTGGAAGATAGGTTTTTACAATAATAATTATGTATAAATGTAAATAGACGTCTGAATGTTTTCCACTGTAATGTTTATATTAAGAGTGCACAATTTTCTGTTAGTATTTATTACAATGCTACAATTACTACAGTTTACTTATTTCATATAACTATTACGTTATAAATGCCTCTTTTGTAATAAAAAAAGATTAATAAACACCATTAAGTGTCATCCGTTTTTCTATACCGTGAAGAAATTTCTATTTGTTAGCCAGTTGGATGTGCAAAATTGTAGACTAAATACTGATTCCCTGATAAAAATTTTCTTTTATTGCGGGGTATTTTTTCTGTTCCGTATTCATAACACAGACGTAAGCAGAAAAGAAGAACAAGAAATTTCCCTATCTATGCTTCGACTGTGTACATTAATATATATATATATAATACTGCTTAGCAAACCTATTGTTCATTTACTTTGCTATGTTGTGAACATTACGGGGATATGGAGTCAGGTGGAATGCCACCTGCGTAAGACGTTATTTTGAACTTGAATATGGCGACCCTCTAAGAGCTTAAATTGTTAATATTTCTTAATATTTTGCTCATTCATTACAGATTTTGAATCTTCTCATACAATATACACCAAGAACGGGTTTATATAGCTCACGTAGATCCAGAAATATCGACAATATGGATTTTGATGTGCGCCATTTTGAAATTCAACATGGCGGCAATTGCACGTAGCCGATCGTTACATAAACCTTTAAATTCCCTTACCCTCAAAATGTACATCGAGAACAGATTTATAGCTGACATAGATTCAGAAACATCAACAATAATTTCAGATATTTTCTTACGCAATTAGAATTTCAAGACTTACAAATTCAAAATGCTGAAAAACCCCCAAACCGGCATCACATCGGACCAATGGAAAATGTTTTAGAGTGGGTGTCGGTTTATTGTGCAAAAGGCTATGCAAACAGAGTTAAATCCCTGATTGTATATCGTCCACAAAAACGTTAGTATATGTCAATAAAATTATATAATCCAGAGTTGATTTAGATGTCGGATTGAGATTTAGAAGGAGTGTCATTTTATTGAACGTGATTCAATCTATAATTCTGTACTACAAATTGTTTCTCTGTTTGCCCAACTGTACAACACGTAAACCAATGTTTCATATATTGAGTAGATGTATAATTATCAACATATTTTCACACAAAAATACATTTATATCAATCAAATTAAGTGTGTGTTGAGTGGTCGTACAAGGGGGACATTCGAACCAGGAAGAAGATTAAAACAAGTCTTATATTTTAAAATCAATTTTCTACAAGGTTGTGCTGTCATAAGCTCGTTTAATACACCAGAATACTATAAATAATGGAATTTATCTTGAATGATAATGTAGATAACACTTAAAATTATCAGAGACTCTCGAGAGTCTAATTGTAAAGCAAGATGATTATCACCAAATTCTAGAGAGTCTGTATTGTATATCTTGATGTATATTTAATTCAATAAAATTTATATTAACTTCTTTCAATAGAATCAATTTTCATTTTAATGGCGATCAGTGCATTCTGGCGTAAAATATGACGCAGAACATCATATGTATATATTCAAAATATTTCTTTCTACTTCTTCAGGTGATATATTACATTTCAAATACATTCATTATTCAGAAATATAAACAATAATTTAAGATATTTTCTTACGCAGGTAGAATTTCAAGACTCCATATGCTAAACTAACAAAGTGAAACCCCTCCAAACCGGTATCACCTCAGACCAATGGCAAAAACCGGTGTAGAGGAAGGCCGCATCCAGGACAACAGCAGAAAACCCTGGTCAGTACTCTCATCTCGATTATGTATGTATTATGTAGCATTCTAAAAAGGATAAAACACCTTTCACACATATCATTGTCTACATGTATATAACAATTAGAAAAGCATAAGTCGAATTTGTAAGAAAATTACAGAAATGGTGTGTATTTGTCATTATTGAGATTTCTTGGGTATAAGAAGGATTATGTGATTATGTCCTATTATGTATGTCTCTGCAAGTTGAGAAGCTTTTGTGAGACTTTACTGACATCGTGAATGAATAGGTCCTTTTAGAAACAAAAGAACATACATGTATTTAATTCAAATAAGTTGGTCTTTGGCCAAAACCTCTTGGCAAAGATTTTTCTCAGACTAATCGTATTCATTTACGGATGGGTCGATAGGAATAATAAGGGAAAAAACATGTTATCGTATTCTATAAATAAACCTTGTCGGCCTACTAACAATCCGAACCGCTAACAAAACCCGAAAATTTAAAGCATCATTTTTCCGAAACATTGGTAGAAGCTATTGAATCATAAGTGATAAGTATTTCATAATTAAAAGTGGTATCGGGTGTCTATAAGAGTAAGCATGACTTATCTGGCGCCACATCCGTGGCTGCTTAATATATATACAACAAACACGACAAATAGTAATGTATAAACAAAAACACAGCAAATTGACTGACAACATTTTAAAATTCAAGGGACGTAACTCATGACACAGATGTTATATTGTAAGAAAAAAATGTTGCCAACACCTGCATCCATGAAGAAGCATTACATAATAAAAAAAAAGTGGCACCAAGTGATCAGAAGAGTAAGCATGCCCTGCCTGGACAACATCCGCCATTACTGCTCAATAATACATATACAATAGGGCAAAACAAAACCTAGTGTTATGTAATTTATAGATTCCTCGTGTAAAATGCTTCCTGTGATGTCAACGCTTTAACGACTGAGAAAACAGCCAATCCTCGATTGACTCCACATATTTATAGTCTAACATTTTAAATGACATTTATGTACTCCTTTGATTACACTCTTGACATTATGTAATGTACTCGTATATTCTTCATTTCAC